TACGGTGCAAATCATCTAATCGCATCAAAAATGTATTAAATGTTGCGCCACTAAGCAAATCATTAATTAAGGAAATAATATTGATGATTATGGTACACAACATACATTCCAGAAATTCCAGAATATGCACGTAGTAGTTTCTAGAATACAGAGAGACCTTTCTAAATGCATCCCCTCAGAACCATAGTAAAAAATTTCAAAAATGTGCACTTAGAGAGGGTGTGCATTTATAGAGAGCAAAATATATAGCGCTATTATAAGCTGGGGCCAGACTATACTGTGCATTTAAAGATATTTTACATAGAGAGTGCATTTAGAGAGGTCTCTCTGAATTCGATCTTATAATAAGGTTGCTCAAGCACTATTTTTATATTTTTTTGCATATCAAACATAATAAACAATGATCTCAACAAATTTCTCACCAATTTAAAAAAAATTGCCACTTTATTTTTAATGCTCGAAGCTTTTAAAATAAATAATCAATACATTAATATAAGTATAATAAATGCAACAATCCTTTAACCAAAGAATAATGAATACTGTTATTCTATTTTTATTTATTTAAATTTAAAATTTTCTCAGTAAAGAAAATGAAAGGTTTGGTAAATATTTTCCATATTTGATGAATAGTAAAGAAAATTAAATAGTTAAGAAAAGCCGATATAACTAAAGTTGAAATTTTAATAGTTAATCGAAAAGAAATTTTTTTCAATGGGCTTTTTTAGATAGCATAGCAAATATTATGAAAAACTGAAAAAGTATACTCAAGCATTTAATTTTATAAGTATCGTCATCAATTGTGATACTTGAGCATCATCATGATTATTATCTAATCAATTGATTTTCATATCCATCCATGTTTAGTACAAAAAAAAAAATAAAAAATAAAAAACAATAATACTTATCCGGTATCTCGTCCAATTTGGTATCATCTCTTCTTTCATCATTGATGCCATGATTAGAATTAGAGTAAGTGCTATATAGTATTGTCCTTTTTTTTATATTGGTTGGTAGAAAAAACAACTTCGGTTGCAAAGTGCATCTGCTAATACTTTTCTATCGCCTGATTCAAGTTCATTAAGGTATTTTTGCAGAATACCTCTAATAATGCTTTTTCTCTTTCTAGCCCAAGATTAATATTTTGAAGATTCAAGCTTTTAGAGTATTGCTATGAAAAGTGCCTCTGCTATTATGTTTTATCTTCTACCTCATCAAGATCCAAAGAAGTTAGCGAGATGTTCTTGCAAAGTTTTTTTATCGCCCAATTCAAGTTCATTGTCTTCAAGATTTCAAGAAGTCAGCAAGGTATTCTTGCAAAATACATTCATTAATATTTTTTTCTTTCCAATCTAAGATTAAAAAGAAATTTTTTTCATTAGGTTTTTAAGGTAGTATAGCGAACATTATAAAAAAACAAGAAAAAGTATACTTAAGTATTTAATTCTATAAATATCGTTATCAATTGTGATGCTTGAGTGTCATCACTATTATTATCTAATCAATTGATTTAGATGCTTGATAACAGGCTAAATTAACATAATTTCTACTTCTGGTAGATATTTTTTATCATTCAAACTTTTTAAGAATTTTCAGGCTCATGTTGTAAATTCATATATATATTTTGAGATGCTATTTTTATATTTATCCATATTTAGTACAAAAAATAAAAATAAAAAATAAAAAACAATAATACTTATCTGGTATCTTGTCCAATTTGGTATCATCTTTTCTTTCGTCATTGATGCCATGATTAGGGTTAGAGTAAGTACTACATAGTATTGTCCTTTTTTTCATATTGGTTAGTAGAAAAAGCAACTTCAGTTGCAAAATGCATCTGCTAATGCTTTTCTATTGCCTGATCCAAGTTTATTAGGGTATTTTTACAGAATACCTCTGATAATGCTTTCTTTTTTCTAGCCCAAGATTAATATTCTGAAGATTCAAGCTTTCAGAGTATTGTTATGAAAAGTGTCTTTGCTATTATGTTTAATTTTCTACCTCATCAAGATCCAAAGGAGTTAGTGAAATGTTCTTGCAAAACTTTTTCAGTATCCAATTCAAGTTCATTGTCTTCAAGATTCCAAAAAGTCAGCAAGGTATTCTTGTGAAATGTGTTCATTAATATTTTTTTCCTTCCAATCTAAAATTATTTTATTTCGTTTCAAAATTATTTAATAATGAAAAATTAAAAAATAAAAAATAATTAATTGATATATTATATATGTTAAATTTTTTTGCTTACATTAAAAAAAAAAAAAAAAATCACTTCTTCAATTCGTATATACTATAAAAGTTTATATACATAATCCTCCAAAATAGTAGACCCACTATGAGTTATATAGACCCAGTGCAAATTACAGAATTTTTATTAATTAAATGCAGTTTTGTTTAAATAGTTAGAATGCTTATTATAAATACGTATAAAGTGTGTATATATATACTTTGAATTCTTTCTTTTTATGATATAACCTCTAAGTAAGTACTACATAGACCCGAGTTTACTAAAGGGTTTAAAAATTGGTGGAATCAGGTCTTATATATGAACTTTTATAGTAATTTAACATGTATATGTAAAACTTTTCTGCATAATTAAATTTTTCATTGCTTCAATGAAGCCTATAAATAGAGCTCTAAATGGAACTAATGGATGGTATCCATTAGTTCTATTCAGAGCTCTATTGGCCTCATTTGCAGACTTCATTGAAGCCAGTGCTGGACTATGACCTGTTATGATCTTGTTATAGTCCAATATTGGTATACAAAATTGGCCAATCCACTGGCATAATAGACAATGTTCATTGATATTTCCTTCAAGCTTATCATAGTTCATCCTGCCTCGACAGCATACTATATTTTCGCATAATAATGCCAATGAGCAGTATTTCAAAAATTGTATAACTCGAAATAGCATGCACGGTTTCAAAATAATGCTTATACGCATCTTTAAATAACACACATGTTTGGATCAGTATATATGAGCCAATTGTAAATATCTTCTTATATCAGACAATCAGCTTTTAACTCAAAATATCGCATATGCGTATACTTAAAATACTCAAAATAATGTGCAGGTAGGTGTTATTATACAAAGATACGGTAGTATACACCAAAACTGGCTTTGGGTAATGTATATATAATCAATATCAATCAAGATTGGTTGATTTCCTAGACAATATCAATATACGTATCAGTTATAAATATATATATAAGAAGTATTTTAACTTTTTTGATATATACCTCAATGAAACTTGTAATTTAATATATAACAAAATAAAATAAAAATAAACTAAAAATGTCAAAACAAAGTAAACACAAAACACAGTCCTGAAAAGCCATCACTGAATATTGGAAAAATAAAAAATCTTCTTCACAACATGTTGACTTGGCCAATATTTTTTCTTACAAAAATAATGACCCTATAGTACTTGCTCCTATTAACAAAAATCAGCCTATAGTTGATAGTTTATCAAATAAGACCCTTGACAGTAATGCTAATAATGATAATTCTATATTATCATTACTAAACGCATAATTAAGAACTATTGATTTATGCCTTAATACAACAAGGCAATATCTCCATCTTGTTTAGAAAGGGTATACAAAGATGAGGACAAGTTGTCTTCTGGCTGAGAGTTTAGGTAAAGGCCCATGACATGCGCAGTGTATTCATGCCTGGGCAAATTAATAAAAGAATAGTAAAGAATTAATAAAGTCGAAATGTGGCCGATATATAAAAATGAAAACTTTAATATATAATAAAAGTTTTCGGCTTCGAATAAATCAGTTTTTAGAGGAAAATAAATTTAAATTAGCCATCTCAGATTTTATAAGCTACATCAGTAGCATTATACTTACTTTTGGGATCACGCATAAAACAACCATTAGTAGATCAATAGCGTGCAGATAGCTAAAATTACTTGGATAGAAATACCAAACCCATTCAAAAAAAATTTATTTTGATGGTCATAAATGTGAAGATGTGGTAGAATCTAGAAATCGTTTTCTGCAAGAGATGGCTAAATTGCGAAAGCAAATGGCCTTATACAATAGTGTAGAATTAATCTATATTTTGCCAGAACTTTATCTCAAATAGTTTCTATTACCCAAAACAAGACCACTCTTTATGCAAATGATAGCATAAAGAAGTATTGGAGCCCATTGAATGAGTATAGCCTACAGTAGAGGCCTGCATTGGGTCCCGAAGCCTAGCTTGGCCTGTACCCGCTCAGCCTGGTGTGCGGGCCTGGGTGGGCCTAAAAAAAATTTTTATAATTGTGGGCTGGGGCCAGGCTGAAATTTTGAAAAATTTTATATTAAAAATTTGTGGACTGGGCCGAAACGGGCCGGGCTTGACAAAAAATTTTTAACTACAGGCAGGTCTGGGCTGGCAAAAAATTTGTAACCCTAATTGCGGGCCAGGCCCGGGCCTTAAAATTAGAAGTTTGCAGGCCTCTAGCCTACAGAAAAAATTACTAGTAAGTTAGCTTACATTCTTTTATTAACTAATTAGTCGACTATTTTTGATTCCTATTTTTAATTACAGAGTCAAAATATTTACATTAGTGATTTTTTCTGTGAATCTATCAGGTGTCTCAAACTTTCAGAATACTAATGTTATATAAATAACTTACTTCCTGATCAACAGCGTTTTAAATATACCCATGTATGTATTGCTATCTATTCAGGTATAAATCGTGATAGTTGGTGGATAGGGGATGATTTAGTTAATCAGGTAGTTAACTGCGCTATCCCGATCTTTGAACAAATACACACTGGCAAGATTGCTTTATTCATGTTTGATAATAGTAGCAATTACAGTACATTTGCTAAAGATGCCCTTTTGGTCTCAGAAATGAACATGGAAGATGGTGGTAAAAATAGAAAAGGTAAAGATAAAAAACCTCTTCGTGAGGGTACGATGCCTGATAGTTTCGTGCATATAATGAACTATTTTGATAGTAATGGTGTAAAAAGGCCTAAGGGAATTAGATGGGTTCTTGAAAAACGAGGTTTGTAGATACCAGGCCTTTTAAAAAAGTGTATCAATTGTAAAAAAAATAGGCCAGACCCAAACAACCCAAAATGTTGCACTTCACATATTTTTTTAGCTCAATCTGATTTTGCAACTCAAAAATTACGCATATGAAAGGTAAATAAGTTTTTTTTTTTAAAAAAAAGAAAAATTATTTAAAAACCATTACTTACATATATACGTATAAATAATTTAGGCAATTGAAGATGCCGGCCACATGTGTATCTTTTATTCTAAGTTCCATTGTGAACTTAATTTCATTGAGTCTGTTTGGGCCGAGGTAAAACAGTATGCAAGAGCTAAGTGTGATTACACTTTTAAGGGTCTCAAAAAAACAATTCCAGAAGCACTGAATTCTGTTGATTTAATAAAGGTTCGCCATTTTTTCGCCGTTCTCAACGCTTTATAAGTGTCTATAAACTTGGACTTTCTGGAAAGGCTGCTGAATTTGCAGTAAAGAAATATCATTCTTATTGTCGAGTTCCAGAAAAAGTTTTTGAAGAATTCGAAGAATTCGCTCATAACTAAAATATTTTGCTTTTTTTTCTTTTTACTCTGAAATATATATATATATAATATATATTAAAAATAAATAAAATATTGCTTAAGACCATGAAATCTAATCTTAATACGTACCACCAATTAATTATCCATTCTATCGCCATTCACATCAGATTTTGTATATCATTCAATTTTCTTTTTTTTTCATCCTTTTGATTGTTTTGAAATTATTTAACCTCATAATTGCATTGATGAATTAATTTATTAAAAATGTACCTGTATACATATAATTTTTGTTATTTTTAAACAGAATAAGGAATCATTCGAGATATTTTTTTGTAATCATTATCTTACCTTCTTGTGCCGCGCAATAGCGAACTACATACGTATCAATTTTAAAGCAGAATTTTGTTAAGTAATAAATCATAGCATTAGAGTTAATATATATTGAAACAGATCATACGCTGATTTTTGATATAACTTTGGGCATGGAAAATTCTTACATGAGGTATAGCATGATACCCTAAAATATCACATGTATAAAACACTTTGTATGATTAGTAATTTCTATATAATGATGACTTTGTATTTATGTGATTATTTAAATTACACCCCGTGCCTACCTAGTCACGTATAATAATGTACGAGAGAGAACCCCCAAAATTTTTGATACGTACACATAGTGAGACACAATACAATTGTCTGAATGACTGAGTCAGAAGGTTTATTTTAACTATTTACTCATACAATACGTAACAAAGTCAAACAGTAAGTCCAGGCTAATAATTAGACGAATAGGTTTTAAAGATTATGCATATTTATTAAATCCTTCTTACAGAATCGTGCAGAATAGACTCTCATTAAATCAAAATAATCACCTTAAGAATTCATCAAACCAATCAAAAAAAATTAAACAAGGGGTTTAAACTAATCGAAAATTAGCCCATATCTGATATGAACAATCTCTTTCTACATATATATATTCGACTTTTTATTTTGACATTTCTTGAAACTTTTCGATTACCAAATTTTTTTATATCTGCATATGTACAAAGTTAAGTTTATAAACATTTACTGTTTAATCTTATTCTACATATTAGGGGTTTCAAAATTAATGATTTGGCATCTAATTTTGATAATATGTAAGTAATGTATGAATTTATTTTGAAATAGTATATATATGTAGAACTTTTATTTTATTTTCTAACATTGATTTATAAATATTTGAAAGAAGCGATTCACTTTATAAATATTTACTAATTTTATTCTATTTTAAAATAGTTTTGCAGCGAATTGTTCATCAAATCTAATATTTTTTATAACACATTCTTCTATCAATTTAAATAGATCCTTTTAATAGAGCTTCAAGGTTTTCTTTGTCATTGTCTTTTGGGTGCTTCTCAACGTTATTGATTGATGTTTCTACGAATCTCATAAACTTTACATTATTTACTTCCTTTCTTCAGGTTTGATATGGGCAAGAACAAGAAAGACTACATGCACGTCTCATCTAGTCTAACATACCAGAGTTAAGTTTTACAGTTTACATTAGTGATTTTATACATCATAAGGAGATAGCTTTTATTCTCAGTGTTCTTTATCATACTAGGATTACTATATGTGAAAGGTCATTTTGAATTACACTTACCTCCTGTAAACTTGAATTATGCCAGATTGGTCACTATTTCTACTCTTGCTTAGCACCTTTTCGATTTGTAACTTTTTTCTTTTTAAGTCTTTTCAAGCCTTTTCGATTTGTTGACTTTTTTCTAAATCTTTCAAATATAGCAAATATTTTAAATACAGAAAGAGAAGTTGTTGGTGTCAAAATAGAATGTAATCTATCCATAATAGGAAGAATACTCAAATTTGATATCATAGATATATTATAAAGAGTGTGCTTTAGGAGAGTCAAAGCTTTAAGAGGAAATATACAATATATACATACTGGGTAAGTTTTTCCATTGATTATTTGTCAAGTCATAGTATATCCAAAATTATGCTGTCACATCTGTATAATGAAATCTGATAAAGAATTGAAAGCTCATCGTGATGACTATTTTGATAGTTAACGTTCTTCTCTATTAGTTATGGATATTCCTGTAGCTTAATTGGCTCTCTTTGCATTAGAGAGACACTTTCTATATTGGGAAGTGTTTTTCTGGGAAGTTGGTGAATAGGATATACTCTGGCATTTGAGTATATGATCGTAGACTATTCCAGCTATGTGTCTTTGTTGGTTAATAATAATGACACAAATATTCACTATTATTTATTTTATAGTGGTCCTGGTGATAGGGATATAGATATTATATGCCAAATCACCGAGATCACTATTGTAATCGAGTGCAAAAGCTACTCAAGTTCACATTCGATACGTAATTAATTATTGTTTTTATACATAATGTACTACATACTGTAATGCCTTATTAAGTGTACATTTTTAAATTTTTTAGATAGAGAGATCATCTTCGCACATGAGACTATTGTGTGAAGATATATTCATCAAACTAGACGCTTCGCCATTGGCATTGTAGTAGCTCCTTTCATGAGTTCATTCACCCCTATTGCGATGATTTCATCCAATTCTTCTAATTCTTTAGTCCTCTTGTCAGGTAGAAACAATTTTTATCTGTGCATTCTTTTAATTGGGTTTGACTTTCTTTTGTTTATGTATAAATATTCTGCTTTAATAAAAAAATATTTTACCTGATATTATGTAACTTTTTTTAAAAATTTTAATAAAATTTTTTTATAACTAATCCATGCTTTATTATATTATACATAATACATATTATATTTTTAAAAACATAAATACTATATAATAATTAATTATTTAATTTAAACTGCAAGTATATAAAAATTTAATTTATCATTGTGTATACTGTTGTGGCTTTACATGGTTCACGGTGTTCTTGTTACCTTTTCTTATTCGAATTTTTTTGCTTCGCTTAATCACGAAGATGGTGTATTGTCCTCATGTGCCCCTTCCATATACATAAGAGTCGTAACTATCCATAACTTAGTTAATTTCAGTTACATTCTGTTATGTCCTTTTATTAACAAAAGATTCTTTATATATTTAACATTCGATCTAAATTAATTATATCATAATTAATTACACATAGTTAACTTGTACTTCAATCACGTAAATAATTAACTGATACTTATCTTTTTTAATCGACAATTTCTTGTGCGATTTGATCGATTCTTGATTGATCACAGTTATATGTATTAAAATGTCTACTATTAAATTTGAATCATCTATTGATAATACTATAGATCCTGTTGTACAATTCCAGGTATCAATTTTTGAACGTAGAACCGATTATTGCCGCAACAGGAGCTAGACCCCACTTGATCAACGCTTTCGTGGTCAACAAGAGTTGACCAGGGCAGTTCCCTAAAGTGCCAATGATGTAGTAGCCATATATTATATATTGCAAAATTGAATTATGTGTAATTGTTATCTAAAAAAAGGTAATCTACGATATGCAACTAGAAGAGAACCAATAAGTTGCACTAATTGATATTATGTCACTAGCACTTTGGAGGCTGCTCTAGTTAACTCTGGTTAACAACAAACCCTTTAAACAGTTCTACACTCAAAAATTGATACTATTATTATCTACGACTAGCTTTTCATCACCTCCCCCTGAATCATGTTTATTGTCTAAAGTCTTGGTCGCAAATTACAAAGCCTTATAGTACAAGCAATTTCACCTAACTAGCGTAGGTTAGTTTTTCTTTACAGCTCTTACTGACCACAAATGCAAGATACCACGTCTCAATCATGAACCAGGCTTTAACATAGTGATCCTCTTGATGTGATTCACAAAACCATAATCACCACAATTACCTCTCAGTACTCCAGCACATCTCACAAATATAAAATTTCATCAGTAACTAATTTCTGTACATTAGCTATGAATCCTCTATTTACTTTTCTCTGGTATTCTTTGAATTCATTATAATCAACCCAAGATAATCTAAATTTCTCATCATCTAGTATTCTCTTATTTTTTGGATGATATGATTTGGCGATTTATCTCTGTTCAATTCTATAACGATTACTATTATCATTTGCTGCATCTGAGCTTCCTAATTCAGCTGCTTTCACATAATGTTTAAAACCTTCTTTGACTCCAATATCATGTTGATTAGAGTTGCAAGACATATAATGCTGTTCAAAGTCTATCACTTAGAGCTTGTATTTACAAGTTGTAGCACAAGTAATTTCACCTAAGGGTAGAGACATTTATCACCTGATTTTTTAGGGGGGAGGGGGTCAAAGGGGTTATCAGGTGCTATATGATATAGTACTATTAGCCAATTAAAATTACCCAATTTTATTATATAAATTTTTTAATAATAATAATTAAAATATAAAAATTATATTTTTTATTAACCTCCGGCTATGATTTTCTTCACAACTACCA